CATGTCTACCTCTTTCATTTTGTTGCCTTGTGGGCTTAAAGCATTTAATCCATGCAAGGCCATCTCATTGATTATGTGGGCTTGTGGATTTTTGAGCTTGTTTCTGTATGCCTTATTTAATAACAAGTCTCTCAATTATATATTCTAGTCGTACAGGAACACCTGATAGGACCCCTTGATTTAGAAACTCAAAGTATTTTTTAAGAGTCATTCTTACCTTCAGTAGGTGATGATCGTTTTTCTCGAAAAGTGGCTCTGGTTAGGTCCACTGGAATGCTTGGGTTGTCTGCATTAACAGTCTTAGAATCTGTACTGGAACTCCAAAGCTTGAAGAACTGTTTCTTAAAATTCGATCCTATTTCTCTAATTGGTCCAAGACTTCTGGGTTCCGATTTTCCAAATGTTGATTCCATAGTAATATCCGAAATTGTCATGGAATGAACACTACAGAGAGTTAGTCCAAGCATAAGGCACTTTGTGGGAAACATCATGAAAAGTTGATTAAAATCCTGATGAAGAATTTGTTTGTACACTAACTCTGAAATGGGAATAAAATTGAAACTGGTAAATTATGGTTGTTTTTTAACGGAACATTTAAATATCATAATTTTGTTAGAATTAAAATTGATTTTATGCAATTTGCTACAGAATAAAATAAGAATTCAGATGAAAAATAAAAAAGAATTCGTTGAATTTGTTTTAAAAAAAATTAAATTCTTGCTCTCTTCAAGATTTATTCTTAAAATCAATAAAAATTTTGCTCTCTCGAAAATAAGAATGTAGGATATCTTTAAAAAAATATACGTTTTTTTGCCCTCCATTTTTAAAAACATATAAGATTTTTACCTTCATAAAAAAAGAGTTCAATATTTGTTTACCTAATATCTTGGTATATTGATCATGATGTGTTGATGTTGAGTTTTCAAGATGAAACTGACTAGTGGTATTTAAGGGTATGAAGACAATAGGTTATGAAAGGTATAGCTTCACACCTTCTGGCTGTCTCGCTTGCTGGCTGGCTGGCTGCTCACTCTAGCTGGATGATTGATCACCTTACCTGTCACTCATTACCTGTGTCTGTCATTCAGTTTATATTGATGGATTGTCTTCTTACATTCTCTTGTATAATATACTGCCTTTACTTTTGAGAGATGGAGGTGGGGTGGGGGGTGATGTGGGTAGATGGGTGTTGTTCTGGTAAGGTACGGGAAGTGAGAAAAAAATGTTTTGGGGAAGAGGGGACGTGTGCGATGGGATCTTATGGTGCTGATGATTCTGAAATGGTGAGGGTTTTATGGAGTTGAAGTTTTTAAAAATAAGGGGTTGGATTTTGATAGGTTAGGAAGAGAGGATTAGCTGAATATAGTTGGTGTTTTTTTTTTCGGCCAGTGGGTGTTTGAATTAAAGGGCTTGAATTTAGAATAATTGGAAAGGGAAGATGTGGTTATGGGTAAATGATATTTAAGAGGTACTCTGGTACATGGTGGAATATGTCCTCAGGGTCAACAAGGGTCTGGTGGTAGCTTCAAATTCATCCAAGAGTATAGTTAAACCAACAACAATAGTTTGACAAGGAAGTTGTTTCTTTCCAAATTATTATTTATTAAAATCCAATCAGTTTATGCCAAAAAATAAGATAATGTGTCATGCGTCAATTATTGTGGTGTAAAGCCTCCTACTTCCTCCTATGTCAGGTGTCAAAACTATTTAAAAATATATATGATCTTTTTATTGTGTCACAGTTAATATAATGGTGTCTGTTTATCCCCTAATGCCTTGTATTTATGTGGCAGTTAATTTGTTACTTATAATGACATTGTTATGATAATCATCATCATCAGCTGTGACAATAGACACCTCTTGTGTTAGGTAATACAGCATTCAGGGCATTAGGGGTCAATTTAGGTGAAGTTTTGGACCTTGATAACTCATGAAGGTTTAAGCCTCCTGATTGGACAGTTGTTCACATTAAAAGAGATGTTCAACCAATCAGATTACTGTATCTTCATGTTTGATTTTGTAAGAACTAGCCTAAGGGCAGTAAGGGTCATTTCAGGTGAGCTTAAGAAGGTGTTTTAAGGTGAAAACCCTAGGGCCTTATCCTCGAAATTTTAACTTAGATTTTATCTCCCCTATTTTGTGGGTGATATTGAGCAGGAATGGTGTGTGTGGTGCCAGGCAGGGTATGCTTACTCTTCTAGACACCTGATACCACTTTTCATTATGAAATACTTACTCATATGTAATTGATATACTTCCTCATATGAAAAGTTCATTAGCTGCTAACAACGTTTTGTTTTTCTACATGGTAGATTTAGGCTTCTAGACACCTGATACCACTTCTCATTATGAAATACTTACTCGCTTATGATTGATATACTTCCTCATATGAAAAGTTGTGTTGTTTGGATTGCGGGTTTCATTTTGCAGTTTGGATCATTAGTACTTAAGTTTTTTTCAAAATGAAATTGATACCTCTTTCAAGTTCGATGCATTGCCAATGTTTTGGATTTTTTGGTTTTGTTTTGCGATTTGGGTCGTTAGTACTAGGGTTGTTTTTTTTATCACAAATTGAAAATGAAATATTGAGTATTTGGTACAGAATTGATTCAGGGGTGACTGTTCTCTATACTGGCTATATATCATTAAGAATGTGATGTATATTTCAAGGAAGGGAGAGACAGAGACCACGATGTTGAATATATAATGTAAATCACCTTCTGGCTACCTTCTCTCATCCGTCAAACTGTCACACAACATCCCTTGTCTCTTTTTATTCATTCATTTCTATTATTCATTCATTCGATTTATTCTTTCATTCATTTGTTCATTCATTTATTCAGTCATGCTTTTTACTTTCTTTGAAGTGATTTCCTATATTGATGCAATGATTAGTGAATGTTGTAATCAATATAATCACCATAATCAATATAATCACTGTTATCAATATTATCACTGTAATCAATATAATCACTGTAATTGATATAATTACTGTAATCAATATAATCACTAAAATTGATGGAAGTGATTATACTGATTGCAATGTTTATAATGATCACAGTGATTATATTGATTACATTGATTACTGTTATTACAGTTATTATATTGATAACAGTTATCATATTGATTACATTGATTGCAGTGATTATATTGATAACTATGACTGAATTGATTACATTTGGTTATATTGATTACAATTGGTTATATTGATTACAATTGGTTATATTGATTACAATTGGTTATATTGATTACAGTGATTAATTTGATTATACTGATTAATGATTACATTGATTATTGTGATTATATCAATTGTTATGATTAATTCTATTATTTTAAGTTTCTGGTTGTATTTTGGAGGTATAAGTATATATGTTCTCGTATTTTAGAATGTATGGGTTTGTGGGTATTGGTTCATAGCTATAAAAACAAATGGATTCATTGTCACCTAACTGTTCAATCTGTCAAATTTCTGGTGTATTTCATGACTAAAGTTGACAGTTTTTGTATTCCATGATCAGCACTTTATGTTAATTACCAGTATATTTTGTTCAGCATAAATTATGACATATTAAGAATGTAATAAAATGATATTTAATTATTCAACGCAGCAGAAAATAACATCGTTAAAACATTAATGAATTCGGCTTTTTTTTTTAAATCTGATATTAATGATATTTTTTTATACTACTTAAGTTATAAAATTAGAAACGATTAAAATATAAAAAGAATGATATATAATTATGCATTGTTAAAACATGGAATTTCCCAGAAATCCTCAGATGAAGACTTTGAATTAATCTCTTTTTTTAAAGAGCGTTTGAGTGGCTAAATATTTGAATGTGTTAAAAAATAATTATGTCCGTCTTTGGACAAACGCTGATGGACAGACTTTACATGTCAGTTCAACTCTGAATTTCCCAGAATTCCTCAAATGAAGACGCTAAATTAATCTCTTTTTTTAAAGAGTGTTTGATTTGATAGATACTTTAATATATTACAAAATAATGGATGCCAAGCACGAACACTGATGGACTGACTTTACTTGTCAGTTCAACACTGAATTTCCCAGAATTCCTTAAATGAATACACTAAATTAATCTCTTTTTATAAAGAGTGTTTGATTTGATAGATACTTTAATGTATTACAAAATAATTGTGTTGGTCAATGGATGCCAAGCACGAACGCTGATGGACAGACTTTACTTGTCAGTTCAAGCTAAAAGGAAGACGCTAAATTAATCTCTAAATACAGAGAGCACATTTTTCAATGTGTTACAAATAATTTCGTCTGACTTTAGATGATCAGCGAAAAACATACCATAGAAAAGTCATGAAAAAGACAAATCTAGATCCGTGTTGAAATAAAATGGGTCGAATACTTCCTCTAGTACAAATCCCAGTGTTGAATTTGTCGTCATGGAAATCAATTTTATTGGTTTAAAAACGTCACTCCTTACAAAAATGATCAAAAATAAACAATAGATATAATAAAATTGACATTTTCCTCGCGTTTATTCGATGATATCCAATAATGTTGTTTCAATCAAAACAAAGCGACCTAGAAATTGGAAAAAACACAAAAAAAATATGTAATTTGTCATGATCAATCAAACTTATGTTGATGTTTAACATTTGATTATCATATTTCAATTCAAGCATGTTTGACTGACTTCAAAGAAATTTCAGAAAAATGTTATAATTGATGATAATTTGAAAACATTCGAGATAATTCTAATGTATCATATGTCTTATACCTTGACTACAATAGTCACCTTTCTTGTATTACGGAAGTTTGTAAATGCAGACATTTTGAGTGAATACAGCCAATTAGAGCTCTTGACGGAAAGTCTGTAAACAATAAGCCACAATATTTACTGTCTGTCTGTCGAGGGCTCTGATTCGGGTATCAGGATTGGGTAATAATGGGTAATTTTTGACCAGTCTCTGAGGTGGTGTTCTTGTTCAGCTCCACCTATATTAAGTTGTCTTTGTATCTTCAGGTATCAGGAGAGAAAGTGAGTAAATTGAGTCTGGTAGATTTAGCTGGAAGTGAACGAGCTCAGAAAACAGGAGCTGTAGGTGATAGACTGAAAGAGGGCAGTAACATCAACAAGTAAGTATCAGTTGTCTTTGATGCCAGGAAGATACCCAATAAATGCCAATATCTGGTAGGTAGGTCACATTCCAAAAATAGTCCAAGTGAAGTAGCATTTGCTTAGTCTCTGACTACTTTGGTACCATATTCCAAGATAGAAATTGCTACGTCTTGGAATCCAGTTTAATTCATCAGTAGATGGCGCCTCAAAGTCTCTACCAATTTTTATGTTTTGGAAACAGGAGATGGTCATAAACCAGTTGTGAGCTACCCTTTGGATCTGGCTGTCCAGGATGCGCCCTTATGGATCTTCTTATTTGTATTTCAGGTCCCTGACAACCCTTGGTTTGGTGATCTCAAGTCTTGCAGACCAAGCTGCCGGCAAAAACAAAAATAAATTTGTACCCTACAGAGATTCTGTGTTAACATGGCTGTTAAAGGTAGGTAACTCTTATTAGCTTATCTTAAGTTCATGTATAGATGTTTAAAAATGACAGAAATGCGCTTTTCAATGATGATAAATCTTGGTCGTTCGTCTGTTGTTCGTCTGTTGTGGTCACAAATTACAGAGACATCAAACCTCCTAAAAAATGGAAGTTGGGTCAAAAAATCTTCTACTAATTACAAAATTATGGAACGAATTTAGATACTTTAAAATTCAAGCCATAAATTTTGGCATTCCTTTAAAAATGAAGAAAATTTGAATCTCCAAAACAGTCTGAGTTCAGTCACATGTGTTATTTGAGACATCAATTTGGAATTGAAAAGAAAGTTGTGGAGAAAATTGACAGCTTTAAACAAAGGCTTTATATGGAGACAATTATTTTCCCTTCAGATGTTCTGCTTTTCTATTAAAATATTCTGGAAGTTTCTTTGAACTGGGGGAAGAAGAAAAATAAGGTTATCTTATAAAAATATAAGATTTAAAGGAAAAGTTTGGTCTAGAATTAGGTTTATTTTGGAGTTGGTGGAATCCGTCTGGATTTTTTAGGATAGTTAAATTTCATTTGATGAGTCACAGTTGCATTCAATCCAGCTGTAAAATGAGGATGGATGATCTGGTAGAGCTCAATGCCAAGAGGTTTGTCCTAAGACCAGCAGGATCCCCATCATTCCAATTGACCCAGCTGTAATTTGATACTGAAAGATCAATGCCAAAAGTTTGGCCTGGTAAACTGGATCCTCATTATACCAGTTGAACAAGTTGTTATTGGGTACTGACAGATCAGTGCTAAGAGATTTGGCCAAGGGCTGGCTGGTACACAGGATCCTCATTTTACTAGTTGACCCAGCTGTAATTTGATACTGAAAGATCAATGCCAAAGGTTTGGCCAAGAGCTGGCTGGTAGAAAGGATCCTTATGAACCTAAGTTGTAATCCTTACAAAATGGTGGTTTTTCTATCCAATTCTGATGAGGATTGTGTACCTGAAGATGAGATTTATTCTTGACATTCCCTTTTCTATTATTTATTCTGTTTGATATATAGAGTTAGATATTATATCTTCATTCTGTAAATGACATTTTGATATCTGTGTTCCTTATAAACGCAATCTTATTGTATTTTTCTATTGCGTAATACAAGTTAGAAACATCTCAGGATTCCACTTTTGTCTCTCATTCTTTCTACCAGCTGTTCCTTGACCAGAACTTGGTAATGGTCTATTCAGTGAATGAAGAACAACCATTTTTATCAAGGATAACAATTTAGGTTTTTAGGATGCTTTCTAGCAGCTGTTTCTTGAACCAGACCTTTGGTAGTGTTCTTTCTGGTAAAAGAAAGAATCATCATAATTGATATTTTGTGGGCTAGCTTCTTGGCAATGATCTTTACACTAAAAGAGACACAACCAAGATTTACAAGGACCACTTTTTTCAAGGGTCTTTTTTAACACAAAGTCCTTGTCCAAAACCATGTATCACATGGATAACAACCGGCTGGTCATTGGTCAAACCTTTTGGTATTTATCTTGTGGACAAAACATCATGCTTATTCTTCCCATTCCCTTGAGACAGCCGTCCTCTAAACAGCCTCAATCTGCTAACGCCACCATCCAAACACCTACAGCCACTTTTCATCAGCTCTTGAAGAGTAAGCATGCTGTTTTAGCCACAACAACACGGAATAACACTGTGCAACAGCCAGTTTAAGACAGCTGCAAGCTACCACCATGAAAATTGAACCCTCCCATTCAGCTCTGCTACCGCCAACATCTAAATTGGTGTGTGAGAACTATAGCGGCTGGCGTAGAGATATATATTGATTGGAGTTAATGGGTTGTCAGGAGTGTAGTAATTTATCGTGATTTGTTTTCAAACTAAACAGATAACTGTCCATTTTCTCTTCCACTATTCTATTTATCTTCCCATCAAACATTTTCCCTAAACAGTCATTTTACCTTTCTATAGACAGTTAGGCACTTTAACGTTGATGGAAATTACAGCCTTGCTTTTCGAAAAAACTTTCAATAATTTCTTTTTTTCTTGTGTTGGTTGTTTAAAGATCTTGTCATAAGAAACTTAAGAAAAATAATTTAACAGTCAAGTTTTGTTTCCTTTCTTGGTTAGATCAATACATTCCTCATTTTTTTGGTCATTAATGTTCATCCATTTGTGAAGAGTTTTGTTGCAGATCAGCTGCAACACTTACCCCACTATGGATCTAAAACCTCTTTATGTTTCCTTCTTTTTTCTGAGCATTTCCCCCTTTCTCTAAACTTTCTCATGATTTCCCGCCCTTTTCTGTGAATTTTCCAATATGGTGACTTTATATGGGGGGAAAACAGCCAGTACCATCTTCCCTGTGTCTTTTCTCTAACTATTCTGCTACAGGCTTTTCCCCTCATCCATGACAACCTTGGTGAAAACAGTGAAGCACTTCCCCCACATGATCACAATTCCCTCTTTCCCCCCATTCCTCAACCTGTCCCTTTTTCTAAATTTCCAATCCTCACGAGATTTGGCTAATCTGTTCCAGGACAATCTTGGTGGTAACAGTAAAACAGTAATGATAGCGACCATCAGTCCAGCTGGTGATAATTATGAAGAGACCCTGTCCACGTTACGTTACGCTGACCGTGCCAAGAGAATTGTCAACCATGCTGTCGTTAATGAAGACCCTAACGCTAGAATCATACGAGATTTACGTGAAGAACTAGAGATGCTACGCAATCAACTCAGAGATGCACAGGTTCGTTATGTTACCACAAAAAATCTAATTTTAGAATGGAAATTTCTTGTCTTTGAAAGGTATAACTCTGATGCCATTCTATGAAAGAATTGGGTGTTATACTTATCTGGTATTTTAATTTCAGAGCATGCAGGCGCCAGATCTCAAAGACAGGCTGCAGGAATCAGAACATTTGATGAAGGAAATGACGAAGACTTGGGAAGAAAAATTAAAAGAGACTGACATGATCCATACTGTAAGTTTTTGTTATTCTTTTGGAGGCCTACACCTTCTTAAACATTTGTTAAAATAACCTGTTTTAACCAATCAAATCCCTTCAGTCTCTCACAAAATACCAGATTTGAAGAGGGCAGAAATTTGATTGGTTAAAGCAGGGTTAGGTTAAAAATATGCTATATAATAATGCTATACAATAATGTAATCCCTGATATACCAGTAAAAAAGTTCACCCAGTCTTTGATGACCGAATTTATAATCTTCATTAGGAAACAGAGCTTTGATTTCCCTTTGACATTATCCTACATTTTTCTTTGCCGGAAATCCAATTAACGATAGAGCCATTTTTTCTAACATGAAAGAAATTTTTTTTTCAGCAACGACATAATGCCCTAGAACAGATGGGAATATCAGTGGAAACATCTGGTATCAAGGTAGAACAGGGCCGAGCTTTCCTCGTTAACCTTAATGCTGACCCCTCACTTAACGAACTTCTAGTCTACTACTTGAAGGTATGTTGTCCTTTATTTTGCCGTCAATTCAAACACAGTAAATATATTTTTTTTATGAGAAAAGGCATAAACTTTGAATGCATTGTGTTTTATTTCTTACATGTGCTGATTGTAAACACATTTTATGTGTTCTGCACACCAACATCAAAACACATGAACCCTAATGTGCTCAAATCACAGAAACAACAAATTCAATACACAATCAGAATCAAACTTCCTCAACACAACACATCAACACATATGTGTTCAATGCATGCAGCACTTTAACATTTAATGTGTTCAAAACACAAACACTTCATGTGTTCCCATCTGAACACATGGCACAAACATCTCATGTGTTAATCAACTCTTTAAGTTTTCCTCACCTAAACATATATATCAACTTTTATAAGTTATAGTTTCTACAAGTTAGAATTTAACCTTTTCAGTATTGTTAAAGAAATAATTTAATTTGGAACTGGTAAAAGATGAATTTTGTATGTCCTGGTAACATTTCAATTTACTCAACACTTTCTCATGGTATTTAGATTAGGTTACTGCAATGTATTTTGTAAAAATGTCTCACATATAATTTGATTTTGTACTAAAATTATGGTTTTTTTATGGACTATTTTTTTTATTGCATCTTCTTTCGTTCATACAACGACAAAATACAAATTTTCATCTGACTTCTGATAGTTATTTTGACAGATGTTGGTTAAGCAAGAGTCAGAAAAACTTGACAAATTCTAATGGGGATCTAACACCTAAATCAAATACTTTTAAATATATATTTAAAACTCAATAATTTTGAATTTTAAAAAATACTCACTTGAGCAAATTTGCAAGTGGATGTAGCGCAAAGAAAGAGACATTTTTAAGGGCTATAGTCATAAAATTATTTGCCTTACCAGCTGACTAAACCTTATTTAATATACCTGTATCACTTTTAAAAATGGAAAAATAAATGACTTTTTTAACATTTAATTGTCTGTCAAAATCTAAAATAAAAACGTTAAGAAATGGGACTGAAAATGATAAACGACACACTTTTAAAGGCCATTATTGTATGTTTCGGCCATTATTGGTGAAAATTATACATCCGCATTGTTTCCCAGCGGAAACTTAAAAACATAGCGACTTATGTAATCTATTTTTAACTCTACGGCAAGATATTTTGAGTTAAAATTTAAAGGAAAGGTTTGGTTTCATTGATTTGAGCACACAAATTTTCCAACCAGACTGCCCCTTTAAGGCTAATTCAGTTTCGTTAAAAAAAAATGGACGCTAGAAAACATATTCATGTCAGGATACACGTATTAATCTTTCGACCTCTCATGCCAGGAAATTCCATCAGAAAAACCTCTTCTCTCTAAATCAAATCAATTTTCAGTTTACACCGAACTTCCAGAAAGAAAATGGCGCTGAAAATGTCAATGCCGATCAAGATCAGTTTAATAAAAGTTAATCCAATCAAAATACGCCTAACAAAATCAAACTGTCAATTTAACCAATCAAATTACTTGTAACAAATTTAAACGTGGCGTAAATTGAATTAGAAAAGGAGTTATAATTAAATTATAGCCCGTAGAAAAAACCTCGAGCGTGTTCATCACAATTTTTATTGTGAATGATTCTGAATGATTCTCGTGACTTGTATATTGCGTGGTTAAATAGTTTGTAGATTATCTCTACTAGCACTCCAGGCTTCGGTTAATTCTCGGTTGTAACCGCGTCGGTTAATTCTCGGTTGTAACCGAGCGGTTTAGAAATACAACAGACATATCGAAATCTTTATACAGAATGAAATAAAGTGAGTGCAAATAAAGTATTGTACAACAGAAACCACCCTGTTTATTTTAGGTGTGGAGCTAGGTAATGTGTTGTGCTTAAATGAAATATCATTGTACCACCCTTAGGTTTTGATTCTCAGAGCTAGGTGATGTGTTGTGATTTGAGGTGATGTGTTGTTTGTCTCTAACAAAACATTGTACAACAACAACCACTTTTACAACAAAAACCACCCATAGATTTTCCTTAGAGCTGGGTGATGTCTGTTGTTTGTAAGTAAAACCTTTTACAACAACCACTCTTAAAATTTATTCCTGAAGGCTAGGTGATGTTTTTCTATAGCAAAACTTTGTACAACAGTGAACCACCCTGATATTTCAGTGATGTGTGGTGTTTGTAAATATGACAAATCATTGTACAACAGTGAACCATCTTGATATTTCTCAGAGTTCTGTGATGTCTGGTGATTGTAAGTAAATAACAGTACGGTACAACAGTGAACCACTCTTAGGTTTTACTATCTATATTGAGTTGAGGTGAACCACTTCACCAGTCACCACTGGGTGTTAGACAGTACTATCACAAACATACTGCAGTGTAACTGTGACTGTGATTATGTATTCTAATACTGACTTGTTTTCCTGTCTCTAGAATGAAAGCTGTCAGAATCAGATATTGTCAGTGTGAGTCGAGTCTTCTATTGAATTAATCCAGTTCCTACTTAGACTAACCTATGACCTACTTGGTTCTTAAAGTTCCTTTATTACAGTGTGCTATATATACTGTATATTTGCGAATATAATGCACATGTAAAATACCCTTTTTTGCATCCAAGGAATTGGGAAAAATATATTTCTATTAATTGTGCAGTTGATTTGTGGATACTCTCTAAAAGACCATTTCAGCTCGGTTCTTAGACCTTTAAGCTCATATTGCCCTCAGTTATGTCACATGTGAAGCTCAGGGCATGAATTGCCAACACGTTGTCCTATTTTCTTCAACAAAGCTTAAAGAAAAACTGGGAGCTTAAAGCTCATGACCTAAGACTTTTTATCTCAGAGCTTAAAGCTTAAGCTTAGGACTTATCCTTTATGCTCTGGCACTCAGTGACTTCACTGAATATCACAGAGCTTCAAGCTCATGACTTAGGCCTTTTTAACCTTTGCCATTTAGTGTTTAAAAGTTGATGAAAAAGACGAAAATATAAGTTCATAAATCATCATTAAATTCAAGTTAAAACTCTCCAGATTCCAGTTTTTTTTTAAACCAACAAACTGGTGTCGAAATCTGTTTAAAAACAAAGTAGAATTTAAAGTTAAAAGGAAGCTTGTGAACTCCCAAGAGAGATTGGCGTTAAAGGCAGGAACGATTTTAAAATATTTGATTTTGATTTGGTGTCAGTCAGAGAGAAAAAAGTGAAAGAATTTTAGAAATACTCAGATGTCTACAGGGAGAAAGGTTGTTAAAATTCAATCTAAAAATTCCTACTTTATATCGATTATCAGTCTAAAAACTTTGTCTCTGAATTTTTCTCCTGACTGAGTTTTGAATCTATTGTTGATGGTACAGATGGAAATTGGATTTAATTCAGTGAAAAAGTAGTGAGTTGAAATTTCTTTCCCAAAGTCATGCAAGTTTGTGGAAATTTGTGCTTATATTGCTCATGAGCATTGTGTTTTTGTGGTTGCTATCTTGGCATATTTACAAAGTTAAAACTGACATATGTATCAAAATAAAGTTGGTATATAAACAACAGGAAAAATGACATTTGTATCAGGATGAAATTGACATACATACAAGTAGAATACTGACATATATACACAAGGAGAAAACTGACATATATATGTATCGGGATAAAACTGACATACAAGGAGAAAACTGACATACATACAAGGAGAAAACTGATCTATTTATACAAAGTAAAAACTGACATATACACAAATAAAAACTGACATATATAAAAAGTAAAAACTGATGTATATACAAATAAAAACTGACATATACACAAATAAAAACTGACATATATACAAATAAAAACTGACATATATACACACAGGAAACTGGCATATATACACACACAAAATCTACAAGAAGAAAAATGATGAACATACAAGAAGAAAACTGACACATACACAAATAAAACTGACATATATACAAAATGAAAAGTGACATATATACACAAGGAAGTTTCAAGAAAATCATTTGTTTAATATTTGCTCTTTTATAAGCCATTAGAGTTTGTGTCAGCTATTTTGAAAATTGAAAAAAAAAAATTCTATTTTAATCTATTTGGAATTAGATATAAACTGAGTAGGTTTAGAATAATAGATAATGATATATTACATGTCAGTTATATTTTCTCTTTTACATTATTTTATTCAACTCAAATTTCACAAAACTTTCTACAAATTTAGTTATGTTTGTCTTTCAAAGGGAAGAAAAGTAAATTTTGTTTTATTTATCTTGGTTACTTGGAAACACCTGATGATACTTCTCTTTGGAGGAGTCCACTACTATACAACTTTTACTCTCGATTTTGACATACTTTGGGTGAGATTTTTGATGTACGGAATTGTCTTGCTTGTATAAATTTTGATCACTAGTGTTCTGAGGAATCTTTTATTGAACTGAATACTTAAGAATTTCCCTCATTGCACACTGCATGGCATTAACTTTCTTCATTAGCCGAACAGCTGCAAAGATTCTTTTAGCTTCATTGTATTTTCTGTTTAAATTTTGGAATTTATAAGTTTGTTTGAGAGCAGCTGGTTTTGAGAATTTGATTCAGAATTACATGTTCCATTCCGTGTACTTATTATCCAAGACACAGACTCGCAGGATGTTGAGGAACCTTGTAAGGAACTCTGTCCTATTATAGAGCACAATGGTAGCGATGGTTCTAATGTTCGTTAGACTAACGAGATAGACCACCAGTATTAATTTATTCTATTGTATTGCCTCCTATCTAATTAAGTGTCGGCTCGGTTTCCTGAATACCAACTGGTTAGAAACATAATGATACTAATTCCTTAATTTGTAGATTTCTTTCTGATGAAATACAATCCCGGCTTAGATCAAGATAAAACCTTCCGATTTTTCAACCAGGTTTCCCCCATGTCAGTGATACAGGTAAGAGGGGCTGACATGGGAAAAGTGTCTAGTCGTTCAGATGGGACAATAAACCGAGGCCCCGTGTGCTACAGGCTGTGTACTACAGGCTGTGAGTTAAA